TTAGCAGGAGGCCGTTAGCCAGAGGCCGTAAGCAAGAGGCCGTTAGCCAGAGGCCGTTAGCAGGAGGCCGTTAGCCAGACGCCGTTAGCAAGAGGCCGTTAGCCAGAGGCCGTTAGCCAGAGGCCGTTAGCAAGAGGCCGTTAGCAAGAGGCCGTTAGCAAGAGGCCGGTGGCTGCTAGCCGTAGGCCGTTTATTTATTTTATTTGAATAGGGAAAAGCACATTAATGAACATAAGTATAAAAACAATTGTAAATATGGCGGATTATAGCTACAAAGCTAATTTTCATCCGTAGTCCCTAGGCAGGCAAATATATAAGAAAGAACATACAATAAACAATATAAGCATTACAAGTAAATGTTAAGATTTACAGCTCTAATGCTGATCAGTGTGTGCAGAGGAAGACTTTCAGATGTTAGCCGCTCTCACAGAGAGAGAGTTCTGACCAAACGTTGTTCTTCTGTGAGGAACCTCACAGTCTCCTCTGCAGGAGGCCCTGGTTCTGGTTCTGGTTCTCAGGCCACTGGAAGTCTTAGGTTTTTAACAGGGTAGACACAGGAGGGGGGGCTAGTCCATGTAGTGCTTTATAAATGAAGCATACATACTTAAAATTTTCAAAATTAAAAAGATTGTACTTGTTCAAAATATTACATACATGGAAAGAATTGTGTTTTTGGTCAAACACTTTAAGAGATTTTTTGTACAGTGATTCAATTATTTTTAAATTGGTAACTGTGGAGAGAGACCAACTAGTATTCAATGTGAGCTAAAACAGTAGAGAACCGTTAGCAAGAGGCCTCCAGCCGCCTAACCTGTGCGTCCTCCTCTGTCCCCAGGAGCAGCATCAAGGCCTCCAACCACCAGTCCTCCTCCTCCTCCTCCTCCTCCTCGCTGTCCTCCTGCTCCTCCTCCTCGGCCCTGGCCCAGGAGCTGTCCCAGCAGGCCTCCGCTCTGCCCGAGGCCGAGGCCAGCAGCCAGGTGGACTGGACCTACGACCCCAACGAGCCGCGCTACTGCATCTGCAACCAGGTAGGGTCCACAAGGGCTAGGGCTAGGGTTAGGGTTAGGGTTAACCCTCTCTAACCAGGGCCTCCTCCAGGGTTAACCCTAACCCCGCTGACTGTGCTGTGTGTGTGCTGCAGGTGTCCTACGGAGAGATGGTGGGCTGTGACAACACGGATGTGAGTATCCACCTTTGGAGAACATGTGTGAGATGTTTTGGAGAAGTTGGAGAGGCGTGTTGGGCCTCGGGCCAAATAATTTCCCTCTGGGATTATTAAAGTATTTCTGATTCTGATTCTGGGCTGTGTGTCCGACCCGGTTCTCAGAATCAGAATCAGAATCAGGTTTATTGCCAAGTAGGTTTTTAGACTTACAGGAATTTGCCTTTTTGGTGTTTGGTGCACAACACAACACTTCTATGAGAAGCAAGAAATAAAATGTAGGAATAAAAATATAGGACAGAAATGATAAAACTGAAAAATACAGTCTTTGAAAATATACATCCGAATGTACAAATTAACAAACTTTAAAAATATAGAGTTTTGTGTTATGTGCCTGACCCTGACTGTGTCAGACCCGGTTCTGCGCCTGACCCGGTTCCGTGCCTGACCCGGTTCTGCTTCTGGTTCTGACCCGGTTCTGTGTGTCTGACCCGGTTCTGTGTCTGACCCGGTTCTGTGTCTGACCCGGTTCTGCGTCTGACCCGGTTCTGTGTCCGACCCGGTTCTGTGTCTGACCTGACCCAGTTCTGTGCCTGACCCGGTTCAGTGTCTGACCTGCCTGACCCGGTTCAGTGTCTGACCTGCCTGACCCGGTTCTGTGCCTGACCTGGTTCTGGTTCTGACCCGGTTCT